AACATCAGTGAAAAAAAAAACACATCACAACGAACAAGGAGCACAGCAGACGCGTCAACTTATTCACCCAGAAGTTGTTTTATTTTTGTTATGTGTTCATTTTTCTGTCACTTTGCTGCTTTTGTAAAGCAATGTTGAAAACCATGAATTATTTTCCATCCACCTCACACTTATGTGCTAATTTGTGTTGGTCTGCCAACACAAATATGGTTCTGGTGGTAATTTCACAAAGTATGGAAAGAAATTAAGCAGTATGAATACTTTTTGTACAATGCACTGCACATCTGGATTTGCCGTAGAATTACCAGCGTAATGACAAAGCTTGACGCTTGTGTCTTTGTAAGCATATTTATGTGAACCATCTGTTCCAGTCAAACGGTCCTGACCAGTTTGGCATCAACAACAAGAACCTGTTCCAGGAGGACAGCCAGCCTGCCAACTCTGACGTGCCCCCCGCCCTGCCGCCTAAAACGGGTACTCCAACTAGACCGCCTCCCCCACCTCCAGGTCAGTTCAGAAAATCATCCAGGTTTCACTCATGATTGGCTCCACCTCTGGTGTGGATGGATTAATGCTGCGAGTTGTCTCTGCTTCGTCAGGTAAGAGAGCGTCCGTCTCTAGGACAGAGTCCTCCGACTCCTTCAAGCGGCGAGGACACTTCCTTCAGACCTCTGGAGACTTCTCCTCCTCTTCCTCCTCCTCCCTGCCTGCCAAGGACCCTTTAGCCGACCCCTTCGCCCCCTCCTCCCCTCCTCGCCACAACGTGCGGGAAGCTGATCGATTTGCCAGCTTTGACAAAGTGAGCACCTCCCTCTCCCCATCTCCCTCACCTCCTCCTGAATGTCAATAGCCACACCCTCTTCTCTTTATTTTTCTGCTCATTAATCACATCTGGTTCTCCAAGAATGTGCAACTAAGCCTTCATGAATCGGTCCATTCACTGCCAACAGATCCCCAGAGAAGACAAATAAAGATTTTATGTGTCGATGCACAAGGTTGCCTGTTTCCTTAATTATAGATATATATTTATGTCTGCCAACATTTATTGAAGCTAGCTGATGAAATCTTGTGTGTTTTGAATCCTCACTGCTGCTGTTTTTATATTTTAGCTTCCTAATAACAGTGCTGTTGCTTTGCATTGTTAAAAATATTTCTCATTTATTTCTGGGATTCCACTTCGTTTAACTCTTCTGGTTGCCCTCCTTATTTTGTTATAAAGATTATAAATAGTTTAATATATTTAACCTGCAGTTAGATTGCATTTATCTGTAGGCACAAAACACAAGTCGTGGTGCCAGTCGTTATTGACATATTGACTCGTGTTTGGCAGTGAATGGAAAGATGGAAACCTGCTTGAATGTGACTTTTGTTTGCCATCCCAACTCAGCACATTGACTTCACACCCTGTTCATGTGCGAGCAAGTCAAAGTTATTTACAAGATAAAAAAACACATGTTGCGTTTAAACTGCCTTTTTCAAGATTTTATTCCACTTTTATCCTTGGAATTGACTGAATTTTAATAGCTACAGCATTCATCCAGCAGGTTACTCTGTTTTATGCCGCATCAGGTCGACAGTGATGAAAAAGTTTCAGTAGTCGGTGACCTACAGGCCTAAAGTTCAGCACGAGGGAAAAACTCCTTCAGCCTGTGAGCTTTGATTCAACTAACTATCAAAACCAGAGTACAAACATTGAGCTTCACATGGAGCTGCTCAGGCTGCAAGGCCTGCATTTTTCAACTGAATCGCTTTTAAAACGTTATGAATTTAAACGTAAAACGACTTCATTTGGATCAACCAAGAGGTTGAGCTTTCGCTGAAACTAAATACTTTTCTAACGGTGCCATTTTACTAACTACAGCTCTGCTCCTGTAACACAGCAAAAAAAAAAAAAAAATGGGTGGTCAAGCTGTGATTTTTGGGATGGATGGCTGCATTTCATTCTTGATTTTTCGATGCCTCTGTTATCACGTTACCCCACCTGCATGCCTCTGTCGAACCCTAAGCTACACAAACTAACCTCCTCCGACTGGCTGCCTCAATCGTCCCCCAAATCATTTGTTTTCCTCTTCACCCACGCTGCTGTTCATTAACTCATGCGTCTCCTCCTGTCCATCCAACCGTCATCCATTCATCAACTTATTTCACTCTCAGCTCTCATCTGATCAGCATTGTGTGGTTGCTTGTATTCTTTGTGTGTTTATGTGTTTGTTATAAAGAAATGTTTAATAAAGTGTTGAATCATAGCCACCATCTCTGGCTTTTATGTGCATCCGTCACCTCTCTACTTGCAAAATCCAAGTAGTTTTTAGTTTTTCAGATAAGTACGTCTGTGCTTCATGTTGTTTTTTTCCCCAAATCATGACCCAGGAAGGAATATATGGCAAAACCAGAAGCTTCTTGGGGATTTGAAGTTGAATGATTAGATTTTCAACATGTTTTATGAGTGTGGAGATTAAAAAGGATGTAAAAAAACCTCAAAATAAATTTATAAAAAAAAAAAAAAAAAAAAAAAGCCTTTAATTTGAGTACAATTATTAAGAGGGGGGAAAGTGCAGCAACAGCTTTGAAATAATTGTTTTCTCACAAATCCTGTAGAATATATTATACCTTTGGGATAAACTCGTGTTTTCTAGAGGATTCAGGCTTTGGTGCCTTGGAAAAAGGTCGATTTAAAAAAAAAAAAAATTAATTAATCTGGTGATCCACTTTTGTATCAATATCACATTAGTTGAAAGAGCCAATGTCAAAGTAGGATTACAGAATGATTGTGCTCAAATTAAAGGTTGTATTTTTCTTTAAATTGTATTGTGAGATTATGCAACCTCACTGAACAAGGATTTAACTTTAAAGATTTTTACTTTTTTTTTTTTTTAACTGAGATTTCAGTAAATTGCCAGTAGAGATAGAAAATAAAAAAAAATCTTAACGGCATGGATTTCATTTAGCCTGCACCTGGCATCCTTCAAACATTATTGTCCAATCAGATGTGAAGACTTTGTGAAGTCTGCATGATCTCTCCTGTCTTCATTTCATGTTTCCACCCCTCCTCATCATGCATGCTCTCTTTACGTTGTGATCCTGATCATGGCTCCTGTGTGTTGGTGACCAGATTGGTTATTTTTCTTTGCATGCCTGGAAACAAAAACAAAACAACGTGATGAATCAGTGTGGCTCCTTTCACTGAGAGTGATGAGCGACTCGAGTCCAGTCTGGGGCAGTGACCTGATTATTTCTAAAGCTTCTGTCCAGTTTCCCGTTGTGGATCTGTAAAGTGGGTGTGATGTTGATCATATGACTCAGTGGAAATCCCAGCTTGCATGCTTTTTACCCACATTTCAGCCCGTTGATTTTTATCCTGATCACATGTCTCTGTGAAATCCACAATGACAAAACGCCCAAGAGGATGTCACTTCTGGATGCTTCTTTTTCCTTTTTTTTTTTTCTCCCTTCCATGAAAAGCGCGTTTCTTTGGCAGCTGTCGTTTTTGTGCTTGTGGTGGTCGCAAAAGTTGTCTGTCACGGTGAAAGAGAAGCGTGTGAAAATGGACATTTTGGGTTGACGAGTCAAAATGTCCACTTTGAGAAAGATTCTCCACCCAACGTGTCCTCTGTGTTTGTTCTTACTCTGTTTCATGGGTGCAGTATCCAACCGAGGAAGACATGATAGAGTGGGCAAAGCGCGAGAGCGAGCGAGAGGAAAAGGAACGGCTAGCAAGGCTCACCCAGCAGGAGCAAGAGGACCTGGAGCTCGCCATCGCTCTAAGCAAGTCTGAACTCTCCTGAGGAAGCAGCTCCCCTCAGCCGGGCAGGCGCCGCACAGCCTGACCCGGCCCGAAAAGCACCAAAGCAAGCGACACCGGGGGGGACGTGCACAGATCTGATGCAGCAGCTCCTGCAGAGACTTCGAAACTGTTCCCAGAAACATTCAGCGCCCCTCTGGCCCCCTTCGACCTGCTCACTGTTCTCACGCCGCAGTAAAACGCTTCTCCATTCTGCTGGTCTGCACGGGTTTGACGGAAGAAGAAGACACAAGAGTTGAGAGACACGGAGGAGGGAAATGAACCAAGATGGCTGCAAGCTCCCCTTTAAGCCTGCAGAATCTAACTTATTTTAACATGCACTCAGAACTAGCCTGAGACGGTCCGTTTTCCGTCACTAACAACACTACTCCACGTTTTTTTTTTTTTTCTCCTTTTCTAAAAGATTTAACATTCGTGTACTGTAGTACCCAGAAATCCCCGACCTTTCTCTGTGCTCTTCAATCATCCTGGAAAAAAACAAAAAAACAACTCATTTGGCTGTGAAAATTTGAGGTTTTGTGTAACAAAATGTAGCGTCTGTACGTCTATTTTAAGTAGCTCTTTTAAACTGAGCGATCATGTTTTGCCCTGGAGATCTGATCAGTTTGTTTTTTTTGGGTTTTTTTCCCCTGTAAATGAACTTTTCTACACATATTCCCTGAAATCCTGTGAAATGTAAACTGCATGTAAAGAAAAGAAGAAAAAACAAACAAGTCCATTCTATCAGTCTTCTGCAGGAGATGGTATTTTTCATGTTTTCGCTCGTTTCTCTTCTTTTATGTTTGAAGATTAGGGATAAAACTACTTCCTTACAATGGCATTTAAAGTTTGGGACACTACATTTAGGGTTGCTGAATATTAAAATAATCACTTTTGATATAAATGTAATCTATTCTTACCTGATTACTCAGTTTTATAAATGGTAGAAACATTTCATAAGTGTGGCATAGCTGATTTTATTTTATTTTTCCTGCCCTTTAATTTTAGACACAACCAGAAAGTTTGGATTCTAACATTTAAATTAGAAACATTTAATAATTTCTGGGTTTGTGTCGGTGTCGTTTAGATTTTCTAAGTGAAACTGATCTCCCTAAGGGAAACTATAAAAGTATTCTCTCTAAAAGAAAAATTGTTTTAATTTTCTTTTGATAAATCTCTCATTTGATCAGATTTCAAACCGTTGCTGTCGTTGGTGCTCATTCTCTTGGTGTTCCCAGATGTTTTTTTTTTTTTTTTTAGGAGATTTCTATCCTTTATGTCCATCAGTCGTTGCATCTCAGCGGATTCCTTTTATATTTTCAGCAGATCTTTCTCTGAGTCGATGTCGTGTTGCATCTCTGTGAGGATTTAGCTCACCAGCTCCTGCTGTGACGATAAATCTTCACATTTTACTCCATCTTCATGCCTTATCACAGCCGCACTAACAGCTGCCTCAGCTTTTTTTTTTATCTATAATTTGGTGTTTTCTCCCAGTATACAGGTACTTGTCACACGTAAAAGCTGGATTCTCATAAGGGAAGATTTGGCTGAAAAACAGACTGCCTTCGTTTCTTTTTAAATCACTTGTTGATTAAATATACCACAGCATTATGGATCGGTTCTGTTATGACTTCTACCATGAGTCCTGTTTATGTTTAACCCAACTACTATCTGTGATTAAAAACAGCACTTTTTAACAAGTGCAGTATCGTGTTGAAGTTTGTATATACAAGATTTGCATGTCTATTTCCTGAGTCTGTAATGCCAGTGTTAATAGTTCGTTTCTTTTTTTTCTTATTTTTTTTTTTTTATAAAGGCCATCTTACTGTCCTTTGTACAGACAAACCCAGAACCACTCATGCTTGTAGACTTACTCTTAAAGTCTTTTTAAATCTCGAACTTATTGTATTTTATTTTGTATTTTCTAACTTGTAAGAAAGATCATTATCGGGAGGCTTAACCAGAAAAAAAAAAATTGTAACACATTTAATTGAAACCGAATAAATATTAAAATGTGTAGTTTTGCAGTTTTGTTTTTCCTGACTTACAGTGACTCCATGCAGAGAAAATATCCAGTTTCAGTGAGATGTTTACTTCGACTCAGTCTGGATGTCTTGTTAAATCTGGTTTGTTGGTGTGATCGCAAAACAACCAACTAAAGAGATTTACTCTAACCCACTCAGAGTCAAAACTATGCATGGAGGCTATATACTGGCTCATTTAAATTCTCCTTTTTAAGTTTGGTTTATACATTTTGAATTAGGTCAATGCAAAATCACTTTTGATGCATTTTTGGTATTGGTATCCTACTAACAAAAATGTAATTACTGTATGTCCAAATTTCAACCACCTGACTCAAACTCAGAGGAATAGAAACGATTCAGCCACTTAAAAGATCTTCAATACGATCCACAGTGAAATAAACTTTATCTACTTTACTCACTGTGTTTACCTTTTAAATTTGAATATTCTGACACCATCAAAAGCACTACAGCTCTGTAGCAAATAGGACAATTTCATAAACGATTTGCACAATCTACCTTTCTGTTCTGAATATATTGGCAGTGTTGAAAAGCTGTAGCAATTAAGATAATTTCATAAATTATAAAGTAAGTGTTAATAAGACATCTATTTCTGCTCTTTTTTAAATTACTTTTACATCATTACGTAATAGGTTCTGAGAACTCTATTATAGATGCGTTCAAATATATACATATGTGTGCTTAGGATTTTTTTTAATTATTATTTTTAATGCTTAAATTAAGAATTTAGCGATAATAACCAGTTTGTAGTTTAATAGTCTGTTATCAACAGGTTGTTTAACTTGGAGGGCTTTAGGACCATGGAGCCACATTCCTGTGCATTTAAATACAAAAGTCATTATTATGGCGATGAGAGCAACACACCTTTTTACCACGTCAGAAAGCAGGAAGAGCCTCAGCGGCTGCTTTCCGCCACTCGTGTCCGTGTGAGGTGATAGTGAGGCGGCCCCTGTCCCGTCCTGTCCCGTCCTGTCCGCCGGTGTGTGTGTGTGTGTGTGTGTCCGTGTCCCTCCATGTCCACTGTGTAAAAAGCTGCTCCGTCCGCAGTCTTCACCTGTCCCACCGGACCCCAGCGCGGTGGGATGAGTTTCATCAACAGCTTCAGGCGAAGCGTGAGGAAGGATGACGGCAAAAAGTGAGTAGAGAGACAGAAATCAGTGCAGGACCAGGCTCTGTCATACGGTGTTTTATGACGCTCATCATGTGTTTGTCTTATTTAGTTTATCACACGGCAGATAAGACCGAGCCGCAGTGGACGCAACACTACATATAATGCATATAAACTCCTGTCCTGCTGATTGTGTCCCATTTCGTGTTTACGAGTTTAAGCTTGGACTCCTAAATTTTACGGCATAAACTTTTAAACCATTTGAGACAGAAGGAAGTTAATAAAAATGTTTGTCTTTATGATTCCTGTCGCAGT